TTATTAGTAGCATATATCAATTTTAGATGAAAATTTTAAAATACCATACATTTCTATATAGAAATGATCTACATTACTCCCTACCCTTAATAATCTTCAAATCTGTGCTATTAATAGTTAAAACCTGAATCGACTAAATTTTCACTTAGCTAGATATTTGTTAATGTAATATTTCAACGATCTATAAAGAAAATTAAAATTATATATATATAAAAAGAATACTTGTAAATAAACGTTCAAAAAATCTTAAAGCAAATTTGTGCTAATAAGATTTTTGAAATACTCTTTGTTTACAACATTTTATAATCCAAGATTACTTGAAAATAAATATAATTGAAAAAATATCTTGACTTTTATGTAAAAAAAATATCATTTTTTAGGTTTAATTTTTACCAAAATATTGTTATCAAACATATATGTTTTTTGGTACAAAATATTAAAGATCAAAATGTCATTTCTTATTTGCTATTTAGAGTATTCCTAGCGAAGGTCTTTACATCATATGTTATACGGGATCGATCTACTATTAAAAATGATCGACGGGGACATGTCCTATGACTGATATTATTTTTAATCGATTATTTGGACTTGGACAAATATGAACATGGACTAATCCAAATAGTGTCTATGTCGATATCTTTGCCGAAATCTGTCGTAATTTTCACTTCGAATCTTCCTTTCAACACAAATTACAGATCGCTTAGCCAATAAAAAAAATTTTTAGTACCTATTTTTGCAATGCAATATGAAATATACTAATGCTAAGCTAACTTTAGAGTTTTTGTCCAAAGCGTAGCGGAGAACACTCTATTTCTACATCATTTCATGCAATGTCTGTTAGCAACATCCAATCAAAGCTTCCAATTTGGTATCTTTGCATATAAGTAAACATAGGCAGAAGTTTGTATGATTGGCTGATGCAAATCAATTGCCTGATAACTTGTTTATTGCTTCAGGAGCAAATAAGTAATATATATTGTAATATTGGCATATACTTTTTATTACATTTAATATCAACGGTTAAAAACATCTTAAATTAATATGTTTTTATGTAATTTTTCGATTATGAGAAACGTGCTACTTATATAGTAGAGATATGAGCTGGGTATATTTTCTAGAATGTAAATATATACGTATATATACTAGTAAAATAATAGTCGAATTGTAAAGGTTAAGTTTAGAAGCGAAGTAAAGTCTTTTTTATAATTAATAATTAATAGATAATTGAATATATAAAAGACATATATTGCAGTAATGTTTAAGGTATTTTGTGTAATGTTTAAGATATTTTATTCTAAATATAAAATATAAATTTTAATAATTTTATTCTCGTTTGATTTCATATCAATTCTATCTTTAAAATTCGTAATTTTGATTGGTTATGCAATTTGTAGTAACCGGTAACTTTCAACCAATAAGATTGATTTATCAAATTTCAGATAACGATATCGGTATCTAAAAATTTATACCGATACTTTCTGCTACGTAGCGATTTTAAATCCAATTTTAAAATACATTAGTTTGTGGTTATATTAGTCGCGCTCTTTTGGGCGTTAGTATGAGTTTAGAACATTTCATATTTGTCACCATTTTTTTGCGTGAATTTTACCTATGAAGAAAGGGAATTCTAATGCTGATCCACCTTTCTCTTCAAATGGCGAACCAACGTTGTCTGGAGAAGAAAGCAAGGATCCAATTAACTTAACTCCACCAATTCCTCCTCTGCTTGGTGGGGACTTAGTCCTCGGACCTATTGGTGACATTGGCAGTACTGAAGAAAGAAACTTGACGTGAGTTTATGAATAAGTTTCTTTCGGTCTTAAATGTTGCTTGATAGACTTAAAACTCTAGCGACACCATGAATATAACAGGTTAGTTTTAACACAAACTGTATTTTATATGCACATTTTGGGTTTCGATTGGATTATGAATCAGAGAACATCATTCGGGCCATTTTCGTGAGGACCCTGTTCGTTTTATGATGCAAATGGGCGCATTTTATCAAGGGACGGTAGGTCACATATTATCAAACAGGATTCAATCTTTTCGTGTATATAATACTTATTCAGTGCCCTAATCTGTTATTTTATACATTAGGGGTGGAGAAGTTATAAAAACTATATCGGAACTCGAATATTTTACGAAGGGTACACTGAAGAGTTGAAAGAACGTGTATTAAACAGTGAACGTGGTAAATGTTATGTATATTTGAGTAACGTTATATTTTGCTCATTTACCTCGTTAAAATTTAAATTCTGTTCAATTTTACCTCGTAGTTCTTTACATGATCGCTTATTTAGCTGAAAAGCAGGTCAACTTTCTTTCGCAAACATTTCCAAATGCCACGCCAAAAATGATTGCTAAGCGAAAGAAAAAGTTTGAAAAAGAACTACAAATTGTAGCCAACGGAATGGTGGATAAATTAATTGCCGATCTTAATAGTATACGGTTTCTCAGGTTTGTTCCGTAACTACAACAATGAAACTAAATATTTAATAGGTTTTGAACAATATTATCATTTATTTCTTAGAGCTTTCGTTTTCTTTGTCCATAATATACTAGCGAGAATGTATCATCAAGGAATACATATATCTGAACGCGAATTTCTTGAGGTAAGTTTTATGCATGCAAATTCTCATATTCTATAAATTACACTATGATTTAATATGTTATTTTAATTCATAAATTCCAACAATTTTACAGCTTAGACGTGTAGCTATTCATGCTGCTCAAAATTCTCAATCTCTTATTATTCTTCCATGTCATAAATCTCATATAGATTATCTTGTTATTTCTTACATATTTTTCCGCTTGGGCCTGGCCCTTCCGCATATCGCCGCGGGTGACAATCTCGACATGCCTATTGTCGGTAAAATCCTTAAGCGCGGAGGTGCATTCTTTATTCGACGTACATGGGGGGATGACCAACTTTATGGCAGTATTGTAAAGGAATACTTAGAGTGCTTATTGGAGAGTGGCCATAGTATAGAATGTTTTATTGAAGGAACAAGAAGTCGTACAGGGAAACTTTTACCTCCTAAACTTGGTATCTTAAAAATCTTTTTAGAATGTATACTGTCTGGCAGAGCCAAAGATTGTTGGATAGTACCGGTGTCTTTGCAATATGATAAAGTAATTGAAACCGAGACTTATATTAATGAGTTGTTGGGTAGTCCCAAGGAAAAGGAAACTTTATGGAGTGTTGTAACAAATACTAGACTATTACAATTGAAATGGGGACGCATAGACGGTTTGAAGCCATTCTTATATTAGTAACCTACATGAACTTATGTGATATCGTAATGATATACAAATCCATTTATTTTGCGAATTTTATAATAGTCCGATTTGCCAAACCATATTCATTACTATCATTCCTTGAAGATCAAAAAAAGAGGCGACTGTAATATTTTATACAAGTTATTAACCTTTTAAACCTTTAATAATTTATTTTGCTTATATAATTATCTTTTATTAAGATATCTTGATCCAATGAACGAAACACAAAAGATTACTTTGTTGAGAGCACTTGGTTACCAGTACGTATTTTATTAAATTTAATTTTATTTTATTTTAACAATGTTCATTTTATTTTCTCATTTTTCTTTCACTTTAGGGTTTTATCTGACATTGTATGCTTTTTTTTCTTAACTGAGTTGTGTTCTCTTATCTATCAACATATAACCGTTGGTTATATTCACTTAGATCTCATATATACCAATTTTTAATTTAATAGAATTCAGTTTCAGTTGTAATGCCTACTGCTCTTGGTAATTAATTTTTATCGAGATTGTATCAAATATTTATGATTATTCTTAATTTATAATGCATAACATTTGTGACATATAATCATCTTTTGCACGAAGTTGGAACTGTAATACTTACACTCCGTGGCAGAGTGAGTTTTAATTACTTTGATATTATTCTATCAAACTCACATGAAAATGATAAATGTTCGTTTACGTTTATTTAAATGATAATTGTAGGGTGTGGGAAGGAATGAATTAATAAGACGTGTAGATTGGTTAAAAGCCGCAATTTTAGCCAAAGGAGGACGTGTCAAAGAATTTGGCGGTATGAGAACTGCAGAAATTGTCGATCGGTGAGTTATATTGCTGCCAATCTTGATACTAAAGATTCTGATATAATTAACGTGACTATTATATTTTTCATTATAGTGCCATGGCTGTGTTAAAAGATTTGATCAAGGAAAGGAAAGACTTATTGGAACCTGTATTTTATGCGGAGAAAAGATTCGAATTAAGCTTTTACCGTAACCAGGTAAGTCACAGCATAAATCATATGCTTATAAAAATTATCTTTTGGTTAAACAATTTGATTATTTTAATTATAGGTTATGCACTTGTTTGTTTCTGAAGGTATTGTATTTTTATTTTTATATGGGCTTGGGGACGAAATTGACAAAAAAAAAGATTTGCGGGAAATTGATTTTTATATTATAAATTCTATAATAAGTTATAAGAAAATAAAAACTTTAAAGAATTATAATTATACTGCAAAATTTTATTAAGATAACAGTATTTGTTCCTTAAGTGAAAAATGTTTCTAATCTAATTTTGAATTAGTCATGCGAATTTAATATCTTGGTTTTCTTAACATGAAACTTTAAAACAGACCCGGCCGGCCGGCTTTTTTTAAAAAATTTTCATATATAAATTTTATAAAATTTTTGTAAAAACCCACCCGGCTATTAAAACATAAAAAATTGTTTTTATAAGCTTTCAAAATTTGACCCGGCCGGGTTATGAAAACCAATTAATTAAGTTTGTATGGTCTTAGTTAAGCTCAGAAAAAATATATATGTATATATTAAAAAAAAAAATTGTCCATTTTCTGAGCATCTGACTCATATTCTACACTTATTTTTCATTATTTTTCCAATGTGAATTATATGTTTGGACAGCTATAATATCGGTAGCGATGTACACTAAGATAAAGCAAGGCGGTGGCAAACCAACACAACGTTTAGACATTGAAACTCTTTTAAAAGAAGTAGAGTTCCTTTCTCAGTTACTCAAGGGAGAATTTGTGTATAGACCTGGTGAAATTAAGGATAATATATATAAAACCTTAGTAGGATTGAAGGTAAAATTTAAACTTTCATAACTCTTGGGTTAATAAAACAATGGATATTAATTTACAACTTAACTAGTAGAATGATCATGTAATTGATTTTGATGATAAATATGTGGAATTATCTGATGCCGAAAGGGCTATTGGAAGAGAAAATTATGGTAATAACATTACAATATTTCATTTACTTGATTTCAATTGAGTATATTTGTCATTATTAGTAAACGTATATTTAACTTACGAACATAGATTTTTACTGCTTCTTGATATGGCCTTTTGTCGAAACATATTGGCTTGCTGGTAAGTGGCACATTGTTTCTGTGTTCTAAATCCATTACCTTCGCATTTCTAATTCATACCAAAAAAATAGCTATAAGTCTGTTTTCTATGACTCCCACTAATATATCTCGTCAAACACCGAACCCGATTGTAAATAAAAACACAAACAACAAACCTGTTCCTATCACATGGTTTAATGAGAGAGATTTTCAAAACAAATGCCAATTATTTGGTAAAACTCTATATTATCAAGGAGATCTTTCTTATTTTGAGGCAGTGAACAAGGAAACGTTGAAGAATGCATTTATCCTTCTGGAGGATGCTGGTGTCATCATGGTGAAACGAAGCCGAAATGTTAAAATACAGCCCACTATTGCTTTAGCACCTGAATTTGTACCAACAAGGAACTCTGATGGTTTCATAGAAGCTAAGGGAGAATTGTGGAATTTAGTTGAAAAAATTGGAAAATTTCGAAGGGAAGGAAAAAATCGTAGAGATAATGCTACAGTTAGTTCAAGGGTATTAAAGTTAGCAGAGATGGTAGGCACTCCAACTACAGCTGATGTAGATGTTATAACAAATTTAACGAGTAGGCCTTCAAAGATCGGAAAATTGGAAGCAAAACTTTAATTTTTTTAAAGTTCGAGAAGTCATTATTACCACATTTTCACGATGAACTTTGAGTGCTTGTTTATTACACTAAAAGACTATAAGTTCGAAAAATTGTTTAAAACTTTAGTCACACTATTTAATATTACGTTAGTAATATATATATTTATTTTGTACGTAAAAAAAAAAAAAATTTAAGTGTTCCCAATAGGGATAACGCTTTTTGTCGACAATTTAAGATTTTGATTTCGTTTGATAATATTGCAATGTGTATCAATGTGATAAGATCATGAAGATGAACCATTTAAATTATTTAATAAATTCTGCTACACATTAGGTTAAGCCATTTAATTAATTTTTTTGCTACAACATAATTCTAAGCGTAATTTTTTTAAAAAAGTAAATCAGAGCAAAAGTATAGGTAAGTTGGTCTACAAGTATACATGCTGAACAAATCCGGACAAATCCCAAACTCTAAAAAAATAAATAGCATTTATAAAAATTGAATCAAAAAATAATCTTTAAATTTTGCAGATATATTATACATAATCGTAAGAATATAAACTGTTTATTTAAATGCGAACTAGTAATAAAATTTTTCAGATATTAATTTGGCCAGAGTTTGGGATTTGGGCGTGGACAAACTCAAATTATAGTAGTTTTGGATTTGGCCAGCAAGTATATCTAGCAAGTTAAACTCTATATATAGATGTGAAAAAGTATTCAATAATATAACTGATATAGTATGATTTAGATTTTATTATGCAAGTGACTTTCGTTATACGTAGTGAGCTCTTGATATAGTGAATATTGGTTTATAGTGAAAAATTTTTTTAGAACAAAACCAATAGTATTTAATTTTCATTCTTCAAAAACGCAGTTAGAAGAATGTACCAACAATGGATGTTATACCTTTTATGAAGACGTCTAAAGCCGTGTCTAGTCATATGTTTTTGATTTCTTTTAGAGTTATATAGAAATGTTATGTAGGGATGTTATAGTTTGGTTTGGCTTGGTTCTGGTTCAAAAATCAGGTTTCTTTATCAAACTATAAACTAAATCAAAGGTTTATAAACTAGTTTGTTAAACTGTTTATAATTTGATTTATAAAACTGTTTTTTTTTTTAGCTAATAAAAATATATAAAATCTTTGAAATTATATATATCTGTATATAGTAATATATATTTATGCATATGTTCTTTAAAGCTTTATTAACAAACTGTTAATATATAGATTATTACAGGTCAAGCAAATGAATAAAGAATGAATAATGATTAAATAATAAAATAAAAATTTTCCATTATTATATTCTATATTCATCAACATAACAGTAGCATAATAGCAGAATAATATGTAATAAAAATAACAAGAGGTTTTTTTTTTTTTAATATTAAAGATAAGTACTTGTGATCTAAGTTTTTATTAATAAGATGTTTTAAGTATTACAACAGTCACAGAAGGCAATCATAAAAAGAGTATACAACTAGTCATTTGTATAACTTTAGTTATTGTTTAATTTAAGTAGTTTGCTTAGAGGTTTTATACTAACTACTATATCTGAAACTTGCTTGTGAGTCTTTTATTTAAACATTTTGGTTCTTGTATGCACTTATCTACCTATCCTACTAACTGCTTCAGTTTTTACTAATGCAAATATATTATAATCACTAGATCTTTAAAGCAGTTTACTTATATAAAGAATTTTTGATCTTGTACTAAACTTACTAAAACCTTCTGTTACTTAATTTTTAATTAATCTAGTATTATTATGGTTAAGACCAACACTTACAGTCAGAGTAACATTTAAACTACTATATTTTTATAAAGTTTATATAACCCTAGTATCTTGTTTTACAATCTTACTAGTACTTTGTATATTTCACAAGTCTTTATATACTACTAATTTAGTTTGCTTTGCATAATGTTACTTCATGTTTGGTTTAACTAATAGTCAGGTTTGTGAACATTTTTATCTAGAATTCTTGCTTATACATATTATCTGTTTTAGGTTTCTGTCTCTAGGTCAAAATTTTTATAGGTAGCATTATACTATTTTTTTATTTTAGATTTTTAAACAGGTGTTCTTATAAAGTATATTCTTTTCAAATTTATTTATATAATATTGTACATTCTCAAAATTAGTCTTGATACATACAACCAGAATTACAGAGTTACAACTCTATATATTCTAATTAAGTTGCTAAAATAGAATCATTTTTTAAAATTCTATTACTAGTAGAATTTGAATTCTGAATCTACTAATTAAAAAATAATAACCCAACTACTACACTAGAATCATCATCTTTTATAGGAGGTTTTTTGATATTAATAACATAATAATAACATATTAGTAAAATAATAAAATATTCTAAGATTAAAATAAAATAATAAAAATGATCTATTATTTTGTTAATATTTTATTTTTATTATATTAATATTAACAAATCTTTTATTATTTTATTATTATTCTGTTATATATATTTTTTTTTTTATGATCTTTTTGGTTTTTGACTTTTATTAATGATTTTTTTAATAATATAATTCTATAAACTATTACAGAAGAGTGTACAATTGGCTTTATATATAACTTTTTATATTATCTATTTAAGAAGTTTATCTAAAGGTTTTCTACCAATTGCTATATCTAATATTTCTGCTTGAATATTCCATTTTAAATTCTTTAAACTTGTAATCTTGTTAATATTACTAAGTCATATTCAGATACTTAAATCATTGTCTCAATCTTAAAACTATTTTATTTTTAAGATAAATCTCTAAAGTCTTTTGTACTTATTTTTACAGTTGACCTAAGTATCATTATATCAGAACCAATACTTGTGCTTAAAATTATATTATTAACTACTATGTTTTTGTAGAGTTTATTTAAATCTCAGTATCTACTTTATAATATAATTCCATTATTTAGTATATTTTTGTTTTTTGTTCAGACTTCCAATTCAGATAGTCTGTATAGGATTATAATCAGTTTATCAGTATATTAGATTGGTCTAATATCTTTTTCCTTCAGTTTATTTTAGTAACTTGGTTGGTAATACCTCTGAGCCTTTTCTAACCTAAAGTTTCTTATTTATCTAGATACAACAGCCTTGGTATCCATTTTCTCAGACTAGTCTTTATGGTAGTGTTATTAAAAATCTGACTATCTCTTTATTTAGATCTTTTTAAAAGAACTTCTTGTTATCTAATTTCAACAAATTTACATATTTACAAAGACTTATCTAGTATTTGTATTATCTAATTGTTAGTTTGCATTTCTCTATATAATTATACAAATATTCTATGATCTGCTCATCATACTGGTACAACTGCTATTACAGATATCTTAATCTAATTTTTTTTTTTTTTTTAAATATTAAGGTAAGTACTTGTGACCCATAATTTTATTAATAGTATATTTGGCTAATGATTACATTACAACTACAGAGGGCAACTATGATGAGAGTGTACAACTAGCCACTTATATAATTTTAGTCATTGTTTAATTTAAGTAGTTCGCCCAAAGGTTCTATACTAACTGCTATACCTGGAACCTACTTGTAGGTTCTCTATTTAACCATACTGTTTCTGTATCCACTCATCTACCTCTGCCTACCAATGACCTCAGCCAATGCCGATGAAAATATGTCATAGTCACTAAGTCTTTCAAGCAGTTCTTTGGAACCTTTGACTTTGTATTAACCTTTTCAGAATCTTTTATATCCTATTCTTATAGCTGACCTGGTATTGCTATGGCTGAAACCAATATTGGTGATCAAGGCATATTATTAAACTGCTATGCTCTTGTAGAGTTCATCTCAACTTTGATACTAACTTCACAACATATCTTTACTATTTTGGTATTCAATTCAAGTTCTACTAAGTTGTCATTCCAAATAGACCAGAAAGGTAGATCGAAACTATACACATCTGGTTTACATGTTTGCTAGCATATAATTTTTTTCTCTAGAATCTGAAAATTTTAGTAGCTTAGTTGGTTCATTCAGTTCCTCCTCAAAGACTAACACATTTGCCTAGTTTCATAAGTTCTAGCTCAGTTTCATAAGTCTAGTCTTTACAGTAACACTGTCGAAAATTCAGGTTACCTTTTTATTTGAATCTTCCAAGTAGGCTTCTGTCTTTCTTCTTTTGGTTCTTATAATTTATATGATTATAAGGACTTATTATAAGTTTGCATTATCTGGTATTGGTTTGCATTCCTTTGTGTAACCACAGACCTTGTTCCAAAGGACAATATCATGTGACTGTTACACGAATGTCATGTGACCTGCCAGTCATACTAGTGTGATATAGGTAATAGATGTCTTATCCCAATTAATTGTAAAAGACAGTTAACTATAACACAGAGAAGATTTTCAAATTTTCTGTTGATATTGGGATTTGAACTCTGGACCTGTCATTTGGGGGTTGACAACCTGACCACTTTACTAAGTCGCCACACCCTTTAATCCAATTTTTGATAACAGTTGATATAATATAAATATTATATAAATAATTATTTAAATTTTTACTATTGAAAAAATTTAAATACTTAATCTACTACTTGAAAGCTTGACAATTTGATCATTTTAATAAGTTATTATACTCTTATTCTGTTATGTATTATGTTGTTATATTATTATATTTTTTTTTGATTTTAAGATAATCTTTTTAGTCCTAACTTTTTATTTTTTTTTTTTAAATATTAAGGTGAGTACTTGCGACCCAGGATTTTATTGATAGTATATTTGGCTAATGGTTG